AGACCACACAGGCGGCCGGTATAGAAGTAAATACAAATAAATTAAAATGTGAGCCTATATGTTAATATATCGTTACAGGAATGCATACCAGAAATATAATGTAAGGACATCTAATAATTCTTTCGAAAATGTGGCTAGAGAATAAATATTTGGAAACGACAGTAACAAATCAGAATTATGTTCAGAAAGAAATTGAAAGATAATTATATTCAGGAAATGTTTGCTAACATTTGATTTAGAATCTGGCAGTGTCCCATTTATTTACGTGTCTTATCTGTGGCTCTACAACCCTTTGTTGGACCTTGGCCGCTTTTTCAGTTTCTTGATCTTTTAGGGCGACCGCACACCAACTGCGTCAAGACAATCGTAAAGACTTGAGACAAAAGACCCAGTCTTGCTTCATTCGTGATGCGTCAGCGTCAGCATCATGACTCAGACCGATGTGCATCGGTTTTCATAATCTCATTCGTTTCAACTGTGCTCCTTTCTTTGCGTCATGTCACAGATATCGTGTCTTGACTGTTACATGTCTTGACGAATGCCTTTGTGCAGCCTACCTTACACAGTCGATAGTATTCCTTAGACGGGGGATCAGCACATAGCAAGGCCGCTCCCTACACACACACAGAAGAACATAAACACAGAATAAACGAACACAAGCATCCATGCCTCAAGTGGGATTCAAACCCACGATCCCAGTATTTGAGGGGGCAAAGACACGTCATGCCTTAGACCGCACGGTCATTATGATCGGCCCCACTTGACCTACACTTCGTAAGAAATTCCTGGTCCCATAGCCCATTGAATGGGGCACTTTGTGTAGTCCTTTCACAAGGATTGTCTAGACTCTAAGACTGCACTGACATCTCGGCAGCCGGTCAAGGAGCGCTCTGCAGTGCTTATATGTAACAATTGCAGAATGGAATATTTTTTCCCGCCTTCAGCACTGACCTTTCACATCTGGAATATATAAACGGGGCTCCCCAGATGCGCTGGTATCTCTTTTCTGGAACGCTTTAAGTTGATTCTTCTTCCTCATGCCCCCGCAGCCTACAAGTCTGTTTTTAGAAACGTTGGCAAAAAGTGATATGGTTTTGTTGTATTCCGGGTGTTAGTGTGTGCCGGACTGAAAGGGCGGATGTGTTTCGGCCGTAGTCAGTTCCCTCACGGATGATTTAGCGAATATCTTGTCTGTAATCTTCGTGGTGTTCCTCAGTTTCCAGAGGAAATTTACCGGAACATCTGACCTACTTTCAAATGAATCATGACCTTGTCTTCCCTACTCCTCTCTTGTTCATCTGTTCCCTCTCCAATCGATCAGTCACTTAAACATGATCAGGGATTTCTGATTGCTTATTGTGCAAAGGTCCCAGCCTCGTGAGAATAATCGAGGAGCTATTTCAAGGAAATAACGGCTCCGGTCTAGAAAACCGAAATTAACGGCCGTGGGGATTCGTTGCGCTGGCCACGCGACATCCTCTATCTGCTAAAGTTGACAGTAACTTCGCCGACAAGCGGCGGTCGCTCGATCGGTATAGTTCGCTTGAGGATTAAAGCCACGGAGTTTGTATTCTGCAAAGGGTGTACTCCAAAACTTGCCCTGCGAATATGTTTTCTGAGCCTTAACATCCACCGGACATGCTAACTTATAAACAGGCCGATATTACATCCTTTAAATATCTAATTTATTGTGTTAGACTCTACAGGATAACACTTCATGGGCGTTTTCAGAACTAGTCTACAGGTAAAGGTAAAATTGTCCCTTTGCTTTAATTAATTACGCCATGAAGACTTATGGTTGGTGGAAGTGTATTTATACCATTCTTTATCTCGGACCTAGTTGGATTGATCAGCTTCACGCCCAGGCCGCTTTACCCCCGGAGAAAGAGCCACTGGTACCCATTGTATAGGAGGCCGAGTGGGCGCCACGTAAGGTTTGAACACTGTAGAGTAGAAACAAAGTGTTTGCCCCGACGGAAATCGAACCCCAACCGTCCAGCCCTTAGCCCGCCCTTACACTGACAAGATTACATTTTATTACACAAATTCATAAATTAAACTTGTTCCCTTCTTCTCCTAATAATTATAATTTACTTTCGTGTGTTTTAACGACGCTTTCAGTAATGAAGTTATGTATTTGAAGGCAGCGGTCGTGGCCTATTTGAGGTGTTATCTCGGCATTTACCGATAGATACTGAAGAAAGCACGTGTCTCGGCCGAGATTCGAATGGAATATCTCCCGATTACGGGGGCACGCGGTAGTTTAGTTGGTTGAGGGACTATACTATAAGCCGGAAGGTCGCGGGTTCACGTCCCGATAAGGTCATGTGATTTTTTTCAATTGACCTAATCCTTCCAGCTGCACTATGGCCCTAGAGTTGACTCAGCCTCTAACAGAAATGAGTACCAGAATTAATTAAATAATTTTCCTGGGGAGTAAAGCGCGGCCGGCGCGTAAGCCTGACAATTGAGTCAATTGTCTAGATAATATGGGACCCTCAACGTCTCACAACCCTACGGGCCTTCACGGCCTGGTACAGTGGCAGCTTTACTTTACTTTATACCTCCCGAATATAAGTCTGGAGCGTTACCTCTAGACCAGCCTCTTGGATTTGGTCTTTCTTGTTTAAATTTTCCCAGAAGAAAAGACTGGTAATTTTGAAAACATGAGGAATAATTTGAACTACTTACTACACTGAATCACTGGTCATAGGCAGGGAACTGTACAACTGCTTCGTAAGTTACGTCCAAAATATATCAATATTATATAAAATAATCTGCAGACAGGAACCGAGGAAAACCGAGGAAACGGAATTTGCTGTGTTAAATGTCTCACCACATTTGCCAGAAGGAAATGTGCAAAACCAAATATGTAAGATTTGAGGCTTTCACAGCGGTGACTATGAAGAAAGCAGTCTTCTGGGATTTGGCACCGTGTATATGTGGTGTTAACCGACGTTTCGGATTTCTTGAGGATTTCTTATATTTTTCCTTCTACCCTGAAGATGAAGGCGATACGTTCCTCCGAAACGTCGGTTAACACCACATATACACGGTGCCAAATCCCAGAAGACTGCTTTCTTCAAAACCAAATATACTTTTCTGCTTTTGTGTTTACGCACATTATTATCTTCTGTCCGTCCAATCATCTATTTGCCGTTCTTAATGCCTCTACCCTCAATTTTCGTTATTTTTCAGGTTTCAAATTCATTTAGTTTCTTAATAAATACGGACTAAATATACACGATAAAACTGAGCGAATCATAATAGAAATTACAAAGAAATAATTACGTTTTATTCCGTCTCCTGTGTTCAAATATTGGCGTTTGAAATACTGTATACGTGTTTTCTTTATTCGACAAAATGTGAAGATAGAACCATGAAGAATTAAGGCAGCAGGTTCCCGTTTTCCGTCTGAAAAGTATAGCCTACAATCCATCTGCGATTTAATGATCCCTGGCCTCGTGTATCTGTGTCATAGCAAGCCTCACTTCAGACGGAAGAATGTGGCTTTGTTGCCAGATCTCTTCTACTGCAAAGTCAAAGAGTACAGTCATAACTTTGCAGCGTTCAGAGTAAAAAACCAGTAGGCCTATGTCTATTGGAGTAGTGCTCGCAAATAAAACGGAAACTTATCAATCGTAAGGAATCATTTATTCTTATCCCAAATTATATTTTCTTCTTCTTATCTTCCTCAAACATAATATGACATGTGAATCCATTGCATAGGTAACGATATGTGAACAGATGTCTGCTAAGCAACGTAAACAGTCAGTTGCTGGGCAACGACGAGTTAAACGTGTATTCTCACAGCAACGGAGATTTCGTTCTCATGACAACTAAGAAACGAACTGTTCGGCTCGGTGTCCCTTATTCGGTACGCCAAGCAGATATAAAACAGGAGACGTGTGGAGGCGGGGTCGAATACCTCCACCGTGACCCTGCGAGTCGTAGGAGACGACGAAAAAGGAAGTCTCAGATCTGAGACATTAAAATATGGTCTCCAGTCCCAAGGGCCTCGGACCCCAGAAAGACTGCACTGGCAAGGACCAGCAGCATATACAAAAGGCAGACCCGTCCTCTCGTCAGAGATGGTGTCCCACAAAAACAAGACCGTAAATACCAAACAGTAATAAATATCTGGTCATGAGGCCCAGATTGGGCTCGACACCAAGACTTACTGACCGACCGTCGGTCGCAATGTGACTTGGACTTCGACTCGACAAACGACAATACGACGGAACGCGGAAGAAGTGACTCGGCAGTGAATCAGCGAGCTACGCAGAGAGGAAGTCTGTATCTAGAAGTAGTTCAGTGTGTGAACTGTTATAACTGCGTGTAAGTGTGAAGGCGACGTCAAATAAACCCAATGATCAAATCTAGAATCCACAATTATTAGTCACGTTAACCTCCTAACCTTGACAATATTCTCTACTTCTTGTCGTTTTTATTTCTCACGTCTTCGCCTTGTCAGCCTCGTACTTGTACCTCATTCATTATAGTCACTAGGATCTGAAATGGATGACCGTTGAATCGGGGTTCGATACTCGACATGGTATTCCCTACAGCTTTGAGACAAGTCCCTGGGTTCCACCATGCTCCTATCCGAGGGGTACTGGGGACGACTTCCCAGGTGGTCAAAGTGGCCGGGGCATGAATATTAGCTACTTACCTTCATATAGGTCTGAGGTTAAGAATATGTGGAATTTTGTCTCCACTCTCCAAATGGTGTGATGCGTAATTAAAAACATGTACTTTTTCCCCTGCTTTCTTGTTCAGTCTGTTTCGGCTCCGCTGCCGGCTAATACAGAACATTCTAAACTGACACAGCAGGATAACACAACTCAGATTCGCACGTCATCAGAGGTACAAGAACGAAGATAAAATTAAACAAAAAGAATTAGTTGTACACGTTTACTGTCGCAGGTGGTGAGAATTTTAAACTGGAAGAAAACACTTTGAATTTTCAATATCATAAAAACCACAAATCTTGTACTGACCTTTGGTTTCCTTGGTGCCAAACTGGACACTGCAAGATGGCGCACGGTTGCTGCACCTGGAAGGATTCCTCAGCCTCTGGTATGTCCCTAGCTGAGGATGATTGAGGACATCCACACCGCTATAATATACAAAGGACAGCAAATTGACTACAGTGATTATAATAAGGCCCCGAAAAAAACTGTAAAGTAAAAAAGTAAAGCTATCCCTGTAACAGGTCGTGAAGGCCCATAGAGTTGTGAGAAGTCGAGGCTCCCACATTATCTAGACAATGGGCTCAAAGGTGGCGGTAAGGTTGTCATCCCTACCCGCCGGCCGCGCTTTACTCCCCAGGAAATTATTTGATTAATTCCTGGTACTCATTTCTGTTAGAGGCTGAGTCAACCCCAGGGCCTTAGTGCGGCTAGCACTGTAAAATAGTCCATCGAAAAAATGTCCAGACCAACGAGAAATCGTTGAAGCCCTAGAACATCAAGGCAATCCCTGTTATAGGGATAGGTGTCCGATAAACCTTGATTAAATGGTATAATACGGATTATTTAAAGCAGCGAATTCAAGCAGAAATTGTCTCCAACAGCCCAGCCATGTTAAAGTACATTCGCGACAGAGTGGACTTCGATTTACAAAGAGCTTCGAATTTTATGGACAATATTTCGAACACATACTTAATTTAAATATACCACTCATTACTGACGTTTCGGAGTTTCTAGAGGATTTGAAGTTCCCACAGCGGTGGTTATTAAGAATCCTGTCTTCTGTGATATATCGCCATGTAGTCTGTCAAAAGTCAACCATAAATGTCGGTGGAACATATCGCCTCAATCTTCAGGGTTGAAAAATAATCCGTACAAGAAAGCAGCATGAATCAGTTAGAAAGCAGAGTCCTACTTGTATGTAGTTAGGGTCACTAATATTTCATGATAAGAACAGTCGTTTGAAACCAGCCTGTGTCACAGTATAAAAATGCGTTTTATGTCAATGCAAGTTGCGATAATTATTACGTAAGGGGAAAATACCGACGACAACCGCAGAAGGCACTGTGTGCACCCAACATATCCTTGAGTTAACAGTCGTTTGAAACCAGCCTGTGTCACAGTATAAAAATGCTTTTTATGTCAATGAAAGTCGCGATAATTATTACGTAAGGGGAAAATACGACGACAACCGCAGAAGGAACTGTGTGCACCCAACATATCCTTGAGTTACCGCATGCCTACAGACTTATTCAGGCGCTGGGATAGTCAGGATGGAGCCTACTTGCACGGGTTTGAGTCAGATGCAGGTTCTAATGAGTTTAGTGACATCGCTAATCAACGCACAGACCCCATCTGACCTCAGGTCACCTTCTAAAATTCACGATGGAGACCGCTATGACTTTGTAATAGTCGGTGGTGGGTCAGCGGGGTGCGTCCTGGCTAACAGGTGAGTCTCTTCACCAATATAACAGCTGACTTCGCTGTCGACTTCACTGGTAGGTACGTGTAGGTCAGAGATTGGTTTGAATTTAATATAGAATGTCCTGAAATGTGATCATGTAAAGGGACTCTCTAAATATTGGAGATGCTTTCTTCCACATTCTTCAGCACCTGTCGCCAAATGTGGGTAGAGTACGTTAAAACAGGCCACGACCTCTTCCTTACACATAATTTCCAATATACTATTTTTCATTTTCACACTACTCAGTCTAAGTTACTGGTATCGTCATTAAATGTGTTACAGGACAAACAAGAACTGAATAGAAAATTTTATTCGGAAAATCTCAACGTAAAAAAAAATCTCAGGAAATATCCTATGTGTTCGGGAAAGGCAGAAATTTCTCGCTTAACGTCCCATTTAACGCTGTTTCCTTATTAGGTTGCTATTGTTTTCATACCAAGGCTCCACACAGCGTCGTGTTAACTTGTTATTACGCCTTTGTCTATCTCGAGGTTTAAGAAAATGATCGAAGAGGGGAGTTACTTGCCCAAACATGTGCTCACTGTTGACGAGACCGGGCCCCCATCTGCCACTAGCTGGCTTCACCTGTGGCCATCGGCGAAACGATCGTACTAATTGTTACATAAATATTGTTGTAGTTTACAATTGTATGCATGGTAGCCAAGAATTTGCAGATTCTTAAAATCGCGTTCGTTGTGTCTATATTACAGTGCATGTTGTGGGGGCGAAATAAGGCTGAGGAACGTAACCTACGTATTTCTTAAGTTTCTTATGGTAACAATGGATCCATTAAACGGCGTTTCACATAACGTCGCTTGTTTACACGAACGTATCCACGACGTTAAACGAGAACTTAACTGTATTTACATGTATCTTATTGATACGAGACATGAAAGTGTAGACTAGATCAGCGATTCTCAGCCTCTTGTAATTTGCGTTCCATTTTTCATTCCGTCAAAAACTGGAGTCTCGCCATATTAAAAACAAAGTTCTTTATTGTTATTCTGCAACACATGTATTACAATTATAAGTGTTAGTATTATGTTAATCATTACTGAATATCTTATATTCGAGACCCCAAATTCCACGCAGTCAACCGTCAAGAGTCTTCATTGGGACTCGTCTTGCAGGACTAAGACAGCTAGAGTTAATCGACTGAACTCGTCTCGCGGGACTAAGACACCTAAATTTAGTCGACTGAACTCATCTCGCGGGACTAAGACACCAAAATTTAGTCGACTGAACTCGTCTCACGGGACAAAGACATCTAAATTAAGTCAACTGAACTCTTCTCGTGGGACTAAGACGCCTAAATTTAGTCGACTGAACTCGTCTCGCGGGACTAAGACACCTAAATTTAGTCGACTGAACTCATCTCACGGGACTAAGACATCTAAATTAAGTCAACTGAACTCGTCTCGCGGGACTAAGACACCTAAATTTATTCAACTGAACTCGTCTCGCGGGACTAAGACACCTAAATTTAATCAACTGAACTCGTCTCGCGGGACTAAGACAGCTAGAGTTTAATTGTCTGAAACCAGGGTCCAATGGTGGGTTTTTGTGAATACAGTAATGAATATTCTGCTTTTATGTACATTGCTAGACTATCTGCATGACTTTCCACTTTCCAAGGAAACTCTGCACCTTGAATTGATTTGCTAATCAGTGCGTGACTCGCACAAATAACCTGTACCAGAAGGCCTTGAGGGCACTGCCACGGAAACTTGAAAACAGGAAAATTTGCATGCCCCCTCCCCCCCCTTCTTAAATTTAGTGTCACTCACTTCCTTTTCTTTCTCTCTCTTTCTCTCTTTGATGGTTTAAGCAACTGTAGGGCTGGGCAGTTATATATCCAAGCCATTGCAAACTGTTCTGAATTGATAATGACGGTCAGTATGCCCACGACACGTTACCTAACAAAGACTGCAATATGATTACATTAAGCGGCCGACTGGCGTCGCTGTATTGCTGTAAGTTCGTACATGGAAGTTGTTAGATTGGAGTTTCATGCGGGACACCGGAAGAGCATGTTCCCTTCATCTTCAGAGTTGAAGAGAAGTCAAGCAAGAAACTAGCACGAAGCAGGCAGTTTTGGGTGCTCTTGAATGAGAACAGAGGCGGATGTGATACGCCTAAACGTTGCTTGTCTATGAAAGCAGTACACGGCGTGATATCCCAGGAGATAAGCTACAACTTCCCGTAAACACAGCTGTGAGAACTCAAATCCTATACACTGTAGTTCTAACATGTTGCCATAGATGACTCCATTACGGATAACGCGACCATGTTCTAACTACGAGTAACTAATTTCATGGGGCTGAGTCCTTCTTTATAAACCACCAGTTGTGTATAATATTGTAATACACGGTGCCAAATCCCAGAAGACTGCTTTCTTCACCAGTTGTGTAGCTACTCAAGAACTTCGAACCCGAAAGATCATTACCGCTTTCATAAGAACCCACTACCGATCCCTATCCTGAGCCAGATCAATCCATAACACCTCATTCTATATCTCTAAAATACATTTTAATATTATCCACCCAATTACGTTTTGGTCTTCCTATTGGTCTCTTTCCTTCGGAGTTTCCCACCAATATCTTACATGTATTCATTTTCTCACACATTCGTGTTAATTTCCCAGCCCATCTCGTCATCCTTGACTTGATCATTCTGGACATTTCTACCGCCATAACATGAAATATGTCATAAAACTGGGTAGGTTTACCCTACGTTTAGGGTCTATGGCACTGTGGGGCCTATTACAACCTCTACTCAACTCCCGCAGGCTGTCCGAAGTGCCCCAATGGTCGGTTCTTCTCCTAGAAGCAGGAGGAGAGGAGCCTTTCGAGGCCGACGTACCCGGGTTCTTTACATACTCTTGGGGTACCCGGATGGACTGGAGTTACGAAGGAGTGCCAGGTGTGATTTGCGGAGGACTTCCATGTCCAATCGTCAGAGGGAAGGGTCTTGGAGGTTCTAGCTCCATCAACGCTATGCTCTACTTCAGGGGCAACAAATTGGACTACGACCACTGGGCCCAAATGGGTGAGTCTCTCTTACTGATACTGTCAGGAACTGTCAGAATGTACTTCTGTAAGTTTAGATGTGTCAGAAGTCACAATACCCCCCTTAGTAATTGTTTTTTTCCTTGGCACTACAGCCCCGGTGGGCCTAGGTCTACCTCCATGAACTTCTCCGTCCACTTCGGTTTTTCTAGATCTTACACATTCGGTAGGACTCCTTGGGCGGGTGATCAGCTCGTCGCAAGGCCTCTACCTGTACACAAACAGAAAAACGCACACATACAAACTAAACATCCATGCCTGAGTGGGATTCGAACCCACGATCCCGGTTTCCAAGCGAACGAAGACAGTACATGCCTTAGACTGCTCGGCTACCGTGACCGGCGCTATTTTGAATATATAGGAATTAAATTCACTGACCAATTATTAATATTTATATTTTAATGAATTTTAAATCCTAACAATATATAACATGAAGCAGATTGTGTTCCATAACTTGGCATTTTTTAAATCTACTTATGAGTATCCCTTGATCATGAACTTCGATCGATTGGCTGTTCATCAGGAAACAGAGTATTTCCACCTTTTTAAATTGCGTCAAAGGATTCAGGTAATTTGGTTTGGTTCATCCTGCTCCGTCACACTAGCAATAGCATAAAAGATTATCAAACTCCGTTCAGTGTGATTGATAAATATTTTTTCTCGTTTTTAATCTGAGCGACCATCTTCAGAAGGATATAGCAATACACGCGGAAACTACTATTAAAATGTGATTGGTCAATATCAAAACATACATACAATACCATTACAATGCCATTAATATAATATCTTAGCCTTTAACAATTACAGCATGTGCATGAATATATTAAAATATTTATACGTTATTATAATTTGTTCTTTATTGCTATTGGGGGTGGGACAAAGTCCCTTGCACTGCGGCCACTTCTGGCCTAGTGTACCAGCCCCAGATGATAGGTGAGGGTGAATGTGGAGAAATTGGTGGAATGAAGATTGGCAAGGGAAACCGAAGTACTCGGAGAAAACCTGCCCCAGCGCCACTTTGTCCACCACAAATCCCACTTGAACGGACCCTGGATCGAACCCGGACCGCCGCGGTGGGAAGCCAGCGACTAACCGCTTGAGCTATGGCGCGGCCTATTATTATAATTAGTCTATTTGTAAGTATGGTCTAAACACTTTTTTAAAATCTGGAACAAATTTGGTTCGTGCCCGTCATACTATCTTCTCTTTAAAGGAAGTTGAGTGTCTGCCACGTCGTCAATCCGTTATTTAATGAATAGGACCCTTCGCTGTGGCCCTGTTGCGCAGCCCGAACAACTGGATGACACTAAAGAGCCCTATTCCTAGCGTATTGGGTATAGCGACTGGCTACTGGCTGGACGACCGAGTGATCGCAGTTCGAATCCCGGTGGGATCAAGAATTTTCTCTTCTTCACGTCGTTCCGACCGGCTCTGCGGTCCATCCAACTTCCTATCCAATTGGTACCGGGGCTCTTTCGCCGGGTTAAAGCGGTCGGGGCGTGAAGCTGACCACTCACCTCCAGCTGGTGTCGAGGTCAAGATAATGTGGATCTATGTATCGCCTTCCCCCTTCATGGGGTAGTGCTTAATTAGTTAAGCACAAGGACAACTTTACCTTACATCTAGGCAGTTCAGAACTGAGTCTTAATTCTTTAAAATTAATGATGTCGATGATGATGACAATTTCCAATATATTTATCCTTGCTCTCATATAGTTGTGGCTGCTGCTTTATTTTCTAGAAATCTTCTTGTTCGGTTCTCGTCCAGGATGTCAGCTGTTCTTTTTAGTTCTCAGTTACTCCAGGCTTTTTACGGGCCAGTTCCTTAAGATTTGCAAGGGCAGTTTGCTTGTACACCCCTGGTATTTCAGCAGTCCAAGTTACCGTATTTACGCATGTATAGGCCGCGTGCGTGTATAGGCCGCAGCACAATTTTCAGACAGAAATTATAGAAAAAATAATTTTCTTGGAATATTATTTCAGGAGTAGAAATTATTCCAAAATTTGGCAACGTTTAATTTTTTTTAAATGAAGTGTGATTTCGAATATTTCGAATATAAGCCGCACCCCAGTTTTCCTCTTGAATTTTTGGCAAAAAATGTGCGGACTATACATGCGTAAATACGGTAATCTCTAACTCGGAACTCTGTAATATTCTATAAACAATGTAACTGAGGAACAGAAATGGAAAGTAATATGAAAGTCCATTTGTGTCTTCATATTTTGTAGCTAATCTGCGTGCTCTCTGTACAGGTAATGAAGGTTGGGATTTTGAACATGTCCTGCCGTATTTCAAGAAGTCTGAACATAACTTGGACCCGGATGTTCGTAAAGATACGGAATACCACGGAGTTGACGGATATTTAAGCGTCGGAAGGTTCACATTTCAGGGTGAGACGGTGGGTCGCCTCACTGAAGCTTTTAAGGAAATAGGATATACAGAAGTAGACAGCAATGGTAAACACCAGAGTGGATTCATGATCGCTCAAATGACACAAAGAAATTCCTTACGTCAGAGCACAAACAGAGCATTTCTTGAGCCTATACTGAAGAGGAGACCAAATCTTAAGATCGTAACAAATGTCAGAGTCACCAAGATACTCATAAACGAATCTAATATGGCGTATGGCGTGCAGTATATTTTAGAGAAAAATAGACATGTGGGAGGTAAAATTTTTGCCTCCAGAGAGGTTATCGTCAGTGCTGGAGTCGTTAATTCACCACAGTTGCTCATGCTTTCTGGAATTGGTCCGAAAGAAGTTCTTCAACCACTGAGTATTCCTGTAATGAAAGATCTGAAAGTAGGGGAAAACCTTCAGGATCACGCTTCAACACCTGGTGTTTTCTTCACGCGTCCCAAACACGAGAAGCCTCAGTTTTCTGGTACCAGTATATTAATGGATATATTGAATTACGCCGAGCCTAAAAGGCACGGCCCTTTGACATCAACAGAATTAAACCAAGTTGTGGCTTACACAAACACAAAATATTCAAATTCATCCATCGATTATCCAGATGCAATGATTTTCTTCTTAGATCTGGCTGCCAAAACACAGAGTGAAACAGATAAAGTGGTATTTCTTCCAACAGTTCTCAGACCCAAAAGCCGAGGCAAGATTACCATCAACACTACAGATCCTTTCTCATCCCCTCTCATCCATCAGAATTACTTCAGCGAACCTGACGACATTAAAATACACATCGACATCTTTAACGTAGCTAAACAACTCGCAGAAACATATGCAATGAAGAACACAGGTTACGTTTTAAACACAACATTTTTACCAACAGAAAATGACTTCAAAACCGGGAAGAACCCTCTTTGGAGACATCCTGAATTTTTATCTCAATTTTCAATTTTTCATCTCTGTGGGACATGCAAAATGGGACCGGATGACGACGAAACTGCAGTTGTAGATCCTTCATTAAGAGTTCGTGGCATAGGGAAACTGAGAGTTGTTGATGCGTCCATAATGCCATATATTGTGAGCGGGAATATAAATGCCCCTACAATCATGGTCGCTGAGAAAGGAGCGGATTTGATTAAGAGATACTGGGGAAGAGCTCATGATGAGATCGAAAGAGCATAAGAAACTGTACACTTGTTACTCTGTTATCATATAAACATTAGTTCTGCCAATAAGACATTCGAGATTCAGTATAGACAAACTTGATGTGAACAATATTAAAAATACAATCAGGGAACACTCAAGCAAAATGAAGAATGCCGTCTACTGTGATGTGGGGCTGTGTAGATGGAGGCGATATGTTCCTCCGAAACGTCTGTTAACACAAGATCTACATGGCCCCATATCCCAGAAAACGGCATAAATAATAAGCTAAATAATCTCACGAAAAGATAAAAAAGTGTGTAGGGGTGATTAATGTAGTATGTAGTTCCGCCAGTCAGTAAGTTAGTATTCAATGGTCCAAATACATTTGTATCTCAACAAAATAAAGACCAGTATCATGACGAACACACCAAATGATGAAATAAAAGGAACGATTTAGGTGTGTGACAGTCTACTATAAATTAAATAATACTTTTATCTAATAAAATATCGTTAAGTTATTCAAGCAACTTAACTGGTAAACAGTGATGGTAAATTACTAAATAATGAAGTAAAACGAACTGGTCATATGTATTTTCCATTTGTTCAGCATCATTGTATTTAAGCAACCTGTTGCACTCTGTACGACACTCTATACGTGTCACAGCAACGTGAGTGTTATACACCTGATGATGGCCGTCTGAGGCCGAGACATGTAGTGTGAAGGAGCAAGATCAAGGACACATAATATATTGTTTGCACTTGGGACGGAGTTTGTATCATATCATATATTGTTCAGCATTGTTCCTTTTTCCCAAGAGTTTGAAGATTCCTTAGGGAGCAAATGTGAGCTACCTAAATGAAATAATAATTTACACTGATAAAGCAGACTGCTTTTGCCGGTTCTCACGGTCTCTTCTCTTGCGGATTTCTTATATTTTTCCTTCTACCCTGAAGATGGAGGCGATACGTTCCTCCGAAACGTCGGTTAACACCACATATACACGGTGCCAAATCCCAGAAGACTGCTTTCTTCATAGTCACCGCCGTGAAAGCCTCAAATCTTACAATAATTTACACTGTTTGTCTCGTTCGCTGTTTTCTCCATCATAAAATTTAAACATTTTTATCGTCATTCGCTCTCCCCTTTCCTTCCTTATTGCTTCCCTTTCTGTTCAGTTGAAAAAACATTAAATAATATCACTCAATACTTACAGTTAGAGGAAGACAAAAATTAAAAATACCAACCCTGCCTTATAGACTGCTAATTCAACATTCTCCCCAAAGTCTGTGTCCTTTTTATCCTTTGTGAGCAGAAGCAAACATTGGTATGTAAACACTATCTATAGCTCTACAGCCCTTTTGTTAGGCCTTGGCCGCTTTTTCAGCTATACATAATCGGTAGGACTCCTTGGATGAAGGATCAGCCCGTCACAAGGCCGCTACATACACAGGACATCATAAACAGAATAAACGCACACACATATTTATGCCTCGAGTGGGATTCGAACCCACGATCCCAGCGTTCGAACGTTCGAAGACAGTTCATGCCTCAGATTCTGCAGCCACTGGGATCATATGCACGCTGGCGTTTATAATTATGGGTGTGTTAACTACGCACTCATGTTAGCGAAGAATACGACAAGGCGGCGTTTGGCGATTGACGTCACCTCTCCAATTAGAGTAAGCAAACAAAGATATGTCAAACTGGCTTTGTATATTTATGTGATTATGAAATACTGAACCGACATATTTTGAAGGACAAAATAACACCAGCTGTTCATATGAGCCCCCAATTCCTGCAACCCGTTGAAGTTACGAACTCATTAGGGCCGCGCCATAGCTCAAGCGGTTAGTCGCTGGCTTCCCACCGCGGGGGCCCGGGTTCGATCCCGGGTCTAGTCAAGTGGGATTTGTGGTGGAAAAAGTGGCGCTGGGGCAGGTTTTCTCCTAGTACTTCGGTTTCCCCTGCCAATCTTCATTCCACCAATTGCTCCACAATCACCCTCACCTATCATCTGGGGCTGGTACAATAGACAAGAAGTGTCCGCAGTACAAGGGACTTAGACCCACCCCATTAGCAATAAAAAAATACGAACTCATTAGGCTGGTATTCCACCTAGGGTTTTACTATTTGTAGGTCAGGCACAAGGTTGTAGGTAGCTAGGCCACGGAACTAGCTGTCCAGATTTGGTCGTGTTACAGGAATATACTGGGCATCCCAGCAGGAAAGGTCAACGTTCTGGGAGGTCATATGATTTCTATGGCTACCGGAGGCTCTTTCCCCGGGGGTAAAGCGGCAGGGGCGTAAAGCTGAATACTCACCTCCAACTAGTGCCGAGGTCAAGAAAACTTGGATCTCTACATCCACTCCCCCATATATCTTCATGGCGTAGTGCTTAATTAGTTAAGCACAGGGGCAACTTTACCTATGACTGTAGACAGAGAAGCCCATCTGCAGAATAACAGTGTCTTCTCAAAAGTATCAATTAATAGCCTTCAGAATTTTGATCATGACCTACACCAAGTTATTATCCTTGAATTTTCTTGGAGGATCTGATGATAACTAGAGAAGCCTCGAAGAGGATAACATATAATTCTGCTCAAATTCGAACTCTGTATATACCTTGTATAAATCTGCAGCATTGGCTCCCCTGCAACTTCCTAGGTATCCTTGTTTGTTATTAATGGCTATGGTACGCTGGTTCCTTCTCATGAACTACAGAACTGTTATATATTATTTGAAAATGTATTAATGAACACCAATGGAAATATGAGCCTTTTTGTTAGCAGTAACAAAATAACAAGATTTGAGAATCCGATCATATAAATCTAATAAGAATTTATAAATTAAGAACATAAACATTTATAATTAATTAAAATAATAAATAAATTACTTGAAATATAAATTACAAAGCTATAACTACTTACTTATTTCCATCGTAAAATATTTCTTTATGAAAACCAAACGTTATAAGAGGGAAATTTGGCGTCGCTGTGTTGTGTGGTATATGGGGAACATGCATGGGTCTGCAAGCGTCATTTGTTACAGTTCATATGAGATGAATGGCGCTCACATTCTTGCGGGCTATTAATTCTGAACCCCCCTCTACCGTTTTCTGTAACAAGTCTGACAGAGAAGGGAACTGCAGGAGCATTAGTTCTCAGTTGGCTTTAGCCCAAAATAGGCTATAGGGTCGAAGCAGAAGACTTAGAAACACAGTGTCTTTAAACCGAAATTCATCACCTGAGTTTTTTCTTCTGAATTTCTTATATAGGTCAAGAAAATATCCTCTCTTTTCCAAAACACAATCTTGATGCAGAACTGGACCACCGACAGCGAACATGGTGATCGTTAGGTCTGAAATATTCCTCACACTTTAAAATGTTACAACATATAGACAGACTGATTAACTAAATTTATGGAGCAGATCCCTGACAGTGACTCTATCGGTAAATAATTAAAAATGTTCTCATAGAAACCGAATGTTCAGGTTCTCTCTGCGTTTACCAGGGCTCGCTACTGGTCGCTATCCTCAACCAAATTATTCCATTCTACCAAAAACATAAAAATTAGAAAATACAAAACTATAATTTTGCCCGTGGTTCTGTAGTTACGACTTGTAAGTGGTCAATAAATGTATTCACCAATCGAAACCCCGTCTACAGTCACACGCGACAATATAATAATGAATAGTGCAGAAAGTGTATGTAGTATAGCTCAAGCGGTTTGTCGCTGGTTTCCCACCGCGGCGGCCCGGGTTCAATCCCGGGTCTGGTCAAATGGGATTTATGGTGGACAAAGTGGCCCTGGGGCGGGTTTTATCCGAGTACTTCGGTTTCCCCTGCCAATTTTCATTCCACCAAATTCTCCATCATAATCACCCCGGGCAGGCTACAATAGGCCAATCAGTGGTCGCCGTGCCTAGTGGACCCAGTTGTACTCCACCCCCCACTAAGCGTGTAGTATGATAAGTATGTACATCAACATCCTCATGTTATATAAACATATACATGTGAGGAAGTAATGTAACAATGAGATGAAAGCTTTGAAATTACGCAGTTTCGGGTTACTAGAGCAACGAAGTGTCCAGGGTTAACACATTGCCTGAACTAGCCATTGATAGGTTTATTTGCAGTGTCAAAGAAGAATGAAGAAGCAGCATCTCTTTACCAGAGGTACAGAGAGCCGACAGCCGGGCTAGTTCCGACGGTCTATGAATAACTTTACACTTATACAGCGTCTGGAGAAGAAAGAGACGGCGTACAGGCTTTTGGTGGGAAAGCCAGAAAGAAAGAGACTACTAGTAGGACCTAAACGTAGATGTCAGGATGATACTAAGATGGATCTTAGGGAAACAGAACGCGATGATATAGACTGAATACATCTGACTTAGGATATGGTCCAGTGCAGGGGCTGATGTGAATACGGTAATGAACCTTTGGGTTCTATAAAATTTTGGGAAATTCTTGAGTAGTGGAGCGATTGGTGGCCTTCCAAAATGGACTCAGCTCTCTGCAGTTGGTTAGCTGGTTATTTAGTTAGTTATGTAACTTCTTTTGCATGATTTTGAAACTTTGTTTCTTCCTATGTGTGAAGAATGTAAATCGAATATAGCGATGAGATGAAGATGCTTGTACCTTACATTCAGGAGGTATCTGGTTCGAATTCTGGATGGACAGATAATACTTTGACAGGTTTTCATGATTTTATTATTGATTTCATGCGAATTCTGGAATAATACTTCAAAATAATCCATACCCTCTTTCTTATCTCTTCCAATTTCAAATTAATAATAATTTTATTATATCTCACTTTATCCTACATAATCTCAGAAACTAACAGAGTAAAACGTCATTATATAACTGAATAACTGTCTTTAGATATAGGGCTACCCTTCTCACACCTCATCACGTCGCTGGGATAATCTTATTTAAAGCAAGATGGTACTAAGTCCATCAACACTTCATAATCCAAGACAATTAAAACGCATGGTTCTTTCTTGTTAAAGGCAAAGGTATTCTTATGTTTAATCAATTAAGCACTACTCCATGAAGGCGTATGGTGAGTGGATATATATATCGACATTTTCTTGACCTCGGCACTAGTTGGAGGTGAGTGGTCAGCTTCGAGCCCTTGCCGCTTTACCCCCGATACCCATTGCATAGGAGGCTGGGTGAGCCCCAGAGCCGGTCTGGACGACGTGGAGAAGAGAGAATTCTTGACCCTACCGGGACTCGAACTCTGACCCCTCAATCGTCCAGTCCGTAGCCAGTCGTTATACCGACTACGCTATCCCAGTTCTTACTAGCGATGTCATTAAACTTTAAATAAGAATGAATAGAAATTATTCAATTATTTATTTATATTTTACTTACAGTAGATGTCAGTAGTTCAAACTGTACAGGTATTTCATAGAATGAGATAACGAGAAGATATTCAGTGAATAGTGAATTCGAAACGATGTGGAAGGAAGTGGCAATGGCCAATTTGAAGTACCGTCGAAATTATGAAGAACCGTAGTAAAAACTGTTGGCTTCCTAGGCGAGATTCCAACCGGAGACCCCCAGAATTCAATTTAGAAGATTTATTTAAAAAAAAAATTGCTTGACACATGCGGACTTGAACACTTCGCCATGGATGTAACGGACCACCCATGTTTAACTTCGGTACTAGATTATTGTGTAGTGTGTTAATGTACTATGCTACAAGCTGGAAGATCACGGGTTCGATTTCCGATGTGTTCACCGGATTTTTCAGTTAACATAATCCTTCCAGCCGCACTATGGCCCTGGGGTCGTCTCAGCTTATAACAGAAATGAGTACCAGGAGTCTTACTGGGGGTAAAGCCGCCTCCGTAGTCTAGAAGTAACGTTCCCACCTCATGACTCGTAGTACGCGGGTTCAAATACCCGGCGGAGGTCGTCGAATTTTTAAAGGTGGAAAAATTCAGGGAACAAGTCCTCCGGGAGGGACTTTAAGCCGTGGGTCCCGTGTCGTAGCTTTACGGCACGTAAAAGAACCTCATATCTCCAAAGGAGGTCACTGAGCCAAATTAACAGACGTTTCCCGCCCAACAGCAGTCTCTAATACCTCTGGTAGATGGGGGAAGCATTATAGACACCACTCAGCTAGTAGAGGCCGATCTCGCTAGCTGGGCGGGACTGATGGTAAGCACCAGTACCGGTAGGATATAGAGACTGGTAGAATATCATAGAGGGAAGCACAATGGACCAAGACAGGTCTAAGTGCATGGGGAAATCCACCCTCTCTAATAACTAACTAACTTACTGGGGGTAAAGAGCGGCCGGTGCGTAAGACTGACAACCTTACTGCCTACTTACTTACTTACTAACGATTGTTACAAATTCCTCTTACAGGAATAGCTTTACCTTCCCCTTGTACTATATTATTGTAAATGGTTAGTTTTGCCCTTAGGCCATACATTCCCTTGGGTAAGGGCACTGGAGCAGTCACAATGGACAAAGATACTCAAAAATCCCTGGAACAGTTCAGATGTGAAGATGCAAATTGATACCCATACAGGCAATCGAACCGCTGTCTTCACAGCCCGTGAAGTACAGTAAGTAAAACATGCCTTAATATGAATCTTTAGAACTCACCAATCATCAGGATCACAGTCTCTGAATCCTTTCGCGAAAGGGTTACTGGCGATCTTCAGGTGTGTAATCTGAAAGAGAGAGGCACACGTCTGGAGATGCAGTGGACATAACAGCGGTTGCTACATCTGCAGCTGAGTGGTCTTGGCTGTGTGTGTTTAAGGCAGGAATAGGCAATTATTTCCTGCTTGGGGGCGCCGCATGGAAATAGATGGATGTTTTCGAGGAGTACTTGAACTGAATCTGGTGTGGGCTTCACTCGCTGTAACAGACCAATTTTAAATATGAGGTTTCTCACTATGAAAACTACTATATTCTGTGATGTGACGCCACATAACCTTGTAGAAATATGCAGTTATTTCGGGAGAACATACTGACTCCATCATCATGGTCGAATGATTCTTGTTGGTTGCTTGTTTCGCTTACTCTTCTAGCGTCAGTATAAAGGCAGTACGCTCCCCCCAAAGGGTCGGTAAATTTCTAGCAGACTGTACGGCGTCACATTCCTGAAGATAACTGTGCTCTTATCATAATCAGTCTTACATATGATAAAAGAATATTGAAAAATGTTTGTAATGGTTCTAAAATCTTAATTTATATGAAAATATAAATTTGTATCCATTTTGTTTGGGGCACGCGGTAGTGTAGTTGGTTGAGGCGCTATGCTACAAGCCGGAAAGTCGCGGATTCGAGTCCCGATGAGGTGGATTTTTTTCAATTTACCTACTCCTATACGAACTATGTCCCTGGAGTCGACTCAGCCTCTAACAGAAATAAGTACCAGGAATCCTCCTGGGGGTGCAAAGGGCGGCCAGCGCCTGCGGCTGACAAACTTACTGTCATCTGTGAGCCGACAGTTTATAGAAAATGTGGGAGCCTCGACGTCTCACAACCCTATGGGCCTTCACGGCCTGTTACAGAGATAGCTTTACCTTTTCACCTTTATCCATCTTGTTCATTTTGGTAAATGAGAAAAATACAAGTGACCTAATTATTATAAAGTTAGTTTCTTAGTATCTGTGCCCCACAGGTTAGAATTTTGTACTTTATAAATGATCTATCATAGGGTAAAATAAATTCATTTCTGTTCAGAAACTTTTGTCTTCTGCCTTCTCTAATATAATGTAAGAATTAAAGTATATAAAACTATAATTTCGTTTGTACTTTTATATGGGCGTGAAAAGTGGCCTCTTGACATTAAGGGAAGAATGAAGATGGAAAATATTTGAGAACAAGGTGCTGAGGAGAGCATTTGGACCCGAGAGGGATATACGTATGAAGCCGGAGAAATCGCTCAATGAGGAGGTTCATAACTTCAAACTTTTAGCGAAATATAATAACGAAGTCAAGGAGGATGACTTGGGCATGGAATGTAGCACGCATGGGGAGAAGAATAATTCATGTAGGATTTCGGTGGCAAAGATAGAAGGAAAAGAACTACAGAAAGACCTAGACATAGGTGGGAGGATAAGATTAAGATAGATCTTGAAGAAATAATATGGTGTGTTGTGAACTGGATTCATCTGGCTCAGGATAGGGACGAGTAGAGGGTTGTTGCATACACTATAATGAACCTTAGGGTCCATAGAATGTTTGAAAATTCTTGATTAGCTGATTGATTGGTGGCTTCTCAAAAATGGCTCAGCTCCAATGTTGATTACTCCTGAAAATAAAACTACATTTATACCAAGATACTAAATTTGTTAGAAAACAATACAAATTGAGTAGTTCTGCTATTATTCTGTTCTCTTTATTTTATTATATTCCTTTTTCCTTTCCTTCTATTTGTCTCTATTGAATAAGTTATTCAATTTTTATTTCAATTTATCATTATTTTCCCTTCTCTTTTTATATCCGGCTACACTGTAATTTGCGAACCAATTGTCAATGTTCATGGCTGTTGTTTACGTTTGTCTTGCTTCTTGGACTCGCTTATGTCGTTTTTGTGACGTTCAAGACACGATGCGTTACAATAGTTGCTATAAATACGTGAAGGTTGTTTAAATACTCTCGCCAGTTTCTTGCAGAGGAAAGTTTGGCGAAACATTTGACGTGGATTCGAACCCATGCAAATAAGAGCAAGATATTCAGATCTTCCTTGATTATTTTTCCAAGAGGAATAGTGGCTGTATTTGCAATTTGTTATATGTTACACAGTTGCAGAGAAATCTCGAAATTTGATCGAATATTTGGCTGTTACATACAGCACAAGTCTCTCATTAGCAGTTCTGCACCTTTGATTACATTTAATTGGATGCGTTTCAGAAGGCCGTTAAGGACAGGAGGGAGAGGATGGGAAATGCGGTTTAGTGGCACTGTCATATCCATATATCTTATTGTTTCTTCCCGCACCTGCGATTAATCTCATAACAAACTTGTAATCCTAGAAACATGAGATTTACTACGTAAGATTTGAGGTTATCACGGCGGTGACTGTGAAGAATTCCGTCTTCTGGGATGTGGCGCCTTATACAACCGCCTGCTCACGCTGGTTGCTCGCTCTCCGATTTTTAATACCCTGAAGATGGAGGCGACACGTTCCTCCAAACCATCGGTTAGCACAATAACTACACGGCACACATCCCAGAAGACGGCTTTCTTCATATTGTTGTGTAGACTGCCTCAAATCATATTTTTTAATAAATTTTATATGCTAAATTATAATTTCTAAAATTTTGTCTTTGTTGGAATGTTGCACTGTGCGTTGGGATGAACATGTTAAGAACATTCACTTCAAAGCAACACCAAGAATTAGTGAAAAGAAATACAAGGTTCAAACATAATGAGAAGTAGAGAGAGACAGAGACAGGAACAAGCAAATTTGACGATGATTTCAACTCAGATAGCACCGTCTCTTGTAGGATGACTAATGAACACTGACTAGGAAATCATGTGGAAGGAAGGCGGTGCCATAGCCCAAGCGGTTAGTCGCTGACTTCCCACCACGGCGGCCCGGATTCGAGCCCGGGTCTGGTCAAATGGGAATTATGGTGGACAAAGTGGCGCTGGGGCAGGTTCTCTTCGAGTACTTCGGTTTCCACTGCCAATCTTCATTCCACCAAATTCTCCATCGTCATAATCACATGGGGCAGGTACAATAGGCCAATCAATGGCCGACATGCCGAATGGACCCAGCTGGACTCCACTTCCCACTATGCGAAAAATGTGGAAGGAAGCCTATTGTGGACTAAGTTCAGGCACTTTTTAGTCATCTGCCTGGATGGACTGAGAAAATCTGCAAAAAACCTCAGTCAGAAAAGTCGGCGTCCAGAATACAAGGCAGAGCGACCTTACCGCTTGAGTCACCGTTCAATATTGAGTTGAGTTAGTGTCAAGGAGGGGTAAAGAAGGATTCAAACTGTGTCAGCAACACTCACCCGGTGGTTCTGGTAGGCTGTGACGGCGGTGAACCGCGTCTCGGGGAAGATGAACGTCTTAAATTCCTCTGTTAGAGCCACATCCGTCAGCTCCGATTTGGGGGGGATGTACACCACATGGAACCGGGGCTGGTAGCGGTGCATAGAGTTGAGGATGATCTGCGAGACATCAGGGAAAGAAACATTGCACTCATATGACCGGCCGGGATCGGTTCAGGGACGAATATTTAAAGTGTGATCTTTTGGGTTATGGCACTTTCTAGTCCTGTAGGCGGTTACCAGCCAATCAGACTTCTAATTACCTACCTAACTCTCTGTTTCTCTATCTCTCTGTGTCTCCACAGCACTTTGGATCTTGGCAGATTTTTCACTTTCTTAATCCTATACACAGTATGTAAGATTTGAGGTTTTCACGGCGGTGACTATGAAGAATGCCGTCTTCTGGGATGTGGCGCCGTGTAGATATTGTGTAAAC